GATCCCCATGGACTCGAACTGTAAATCAAGTTAGAGGAAAAGTGACAGAATTTGAGAGAATAGTTTTTCAATGTTGTCAATCTTAATGTAAAAAAAACCTGCTTATTAAATTTGTATCAGACTTATCTTGTGATTACAGCAAATTCATTTCCAGAAAAGTTCAATTAGGAAGCCATCAATAGGATATACTAATTTCAACAAGTCATTTTGCTTCAGGGATATATTTTACTAATTACGAATATGTACAAGTCCCATTAGGACATAAAAAAACTCCAAGCACAGAAAAGAAGATGATAATTAAAGAGTCTTCATTTGAAAATAGCTAATTTAAGAGGAAAACAATAAAACATGTTCATTTATAATTTCTTAAATGATTCTTCCTCTGTTTTTTTATTTTTTAAATAATTCTAATACATTGTATAATTCTTAAACAATAGAAATTATTTAATTATAGACATCAAAGTATTTTATTTTCATAAATCTGTAACGGTTTGCTGTTGTTGTTGTTGTGTACTGTAGAGTCTGAACTGACCCGTAGCTGATCCTTGGGTGGGTTTTCAGAGGCAGATAATCACACAGGAGCAGATTGTCCATCCTTCACCCCCAGAGCTGCTGCTGGTGGCCTTGAACTGCAGGCCTTTGGAACTGCAGCACAGCTTCTCTCCCTCTTTCTTCCTCTCTTTCTCTCCCTCTCACATTCTCTCAAAATAATCAAAATATCAGTTCATTTTTTTCATGTAATTGCTTTAGATGCCTCTCTAGATACCCTTAATTATAACTGCACTACGTCCTAAATTTCCAATCACCTAATAGACAATAGCTTTTATTTCTCAAATTTCCTTTACAGTCAACTGTGGTTCAGAACAAAATTTTATCCTAGGAGTATTTTCATATCTCACTAAATTTCAGCATTACTTTAGGATTTTTTTTCTCAGCTATTTGATTATTATTTTTTATATACTTTATTATTAACAGCATTAAGTTTTATGACTAAATTAGATAAAATCCACTAATCCTCCTAAGCAACTGTTCCTCTCCAGTTTGGAAAGAAACCAACTCCTTAGGCTATTTCTCAGAGATAATACACAATAGGCTCAAATGCACATTAATTAAAATCTGTTAGTACTTCTTTCACTCTACAGCTTCCTCTCGGTGCTGTTAAAGTTAACAAAAATTTGTACAACAATGTTTATTGAAGCACAGTTCATAACAGTCAAAATTGAAAACAGCCAAAATGGTCATTGATGGAAGAATGCGTAAATAAAACATGGTACATACACAATGGAGTATTACCAACAAAAATGAGAAGTGCAATTCTGATCCATACTACACCCTGAATTACTGAGCAAAACAAGTTAGTCACAAAAGGAGAAATAATGTATTATACTACCTACATAAAGTAGAAAAGCTTATATACCAAAGCTTAGGAGTAGTGACCAGAGATGGGAGGGCGACCTAATGGCCTAGAGGTAAAAATTGCTGCCACCCCAAAAGCACATGGTTAGGATCCATGAGCTGATCTGCCAGGGAGCGGCTGTGGGGCTACAGGGAGTAAGGGGAAGGAATGGGAGGAACAGAGAGTGAGGGGAATGGTGAATGTGGACAATCTCCCCCCATGCGATCACTGATTTCAAAAATCCAGTGGAGGAAGAAGGGAAGATTAACTGTGGTTGCTCAAAGAACATCTAGTTCCTGTTAATGGTGAATCAAGAATTTGGAAAAAGATAGTGGTAACATGATGAATATATCAAGCATCAATGGAGTAAATTAAAAAATTGGTGAACTAACAAATACCTACAACATAAAAGAAAAAGAATGACTACTGGCTTGTTTGGTTTTTTACACCAGGCACCACTCATAACAAGACACAGTGAGGTAGAGCTATGCCAGGAAATTTAGTGGACTGCTGCCTGGTCAACTAACTGGAAGAGATTTCTTTTTATTGCCATTTCCAAGAAAGACAATCCAACAGAATGTGGAAATTATTGAGAAATAACATTAATAACATATGAAGCAAAATACTGCTGAGGTTTCATTCAAAAGGAACAGTACACAGCCAGAGAACTGGTAGAAGTTTAACTTAGAAGAGCCTGTGGCACTAGGGATAGCATTACTGTTGTCAGACCAGCAAAGATCTGGCTGAAAGCAAAACATACCAGAAGAATCTATATTTGTGCTTTATTGACTAGGCACACAAAGGCATTTCATTGTATGGATTGTAACACATTATGGCTAACTTTGAGAAGAATGGGAATCATAGAATACCTAATTGTGCCCATGCAAAACCAAGACCAAGAGACTGTTTTGCAAACAGAGCAAGAGAATACTATTTGGCTTAAAATTAAGAAACATAAGCATCAGGGTGAATACTCTCTCTGTACCTACTCAATCTGTACACTGAGCAAATTATTTGAGAAACTGGCCTCTATAAAGAAGAATGTGGTATCAGGTTCAGATCAAAGCTGTACGAAACCTACACTTGGACCAGAAAGCAGTCCTCAGAACAGAGCAAGGAAACACTGAATGGTTCAAAATCAGGAAAGGAGTGCATCAGCTATGCATCCTGTCTCCATGCCTTTTCAGTCTATATGCAGAACCGATCATTCAGGAGGCTGGGCTTTGTGAGGAGGAATGTGGCATTAGGATTCAATAAATCCTGCTCAATTGCAGTTGTTAAAGACACTAATGCTGTGATTTAAGGTCTTTGTTTTCCAGAGAAACTGAAGACTATGTAGAGATGACACATAGGCTGAGGGAAAGGGAGGAGAAATACTTTCAAGATATTAGTCATAGAGACAAGCTGAAGATCTCTCATCTCATGGCTGGTAAGTACTCCACTGAGAGGGAATTAACTCTCACATTTAAAAAGGAAATTGCTACAGAAAGGGAGAAAATGGTTATTTATTCCCAAGCCCTGCCAACATCCATACTGTTCTCTTGCTGTGTCATAGTTACAGATCAGTACAATGACGGGAACCATAAATTCTAATATTTCTGCTTAAGAAAGAGTTTTATTGATCCTCATTTTATCTTTTCTTTTTCCCATGATTCAGCAAGTCAGAATCACTCCAGTTTCAGGAGCTTCCTATCATGTAGCAAGATGCCCATGAGATTAAAATGTCTTGCAATTTAATAGGAGAAAATTTCAGCACCAAGGAGAGCATCCAGTTGGTTTTGACATGCTTTTTGTATTTGGAATTGCATATTATTTCAGAGGTTTTGTTGTGTGTTAATGTGCTATCCAGTGGGAACCAACTCATAGCCGACCCTCTAGAAGATGATATTAGAAAGAAATACTGCAATATAGTTAGATATAAAGTTGCCAAGAACATATTTCATTCAGGAGAAAACTTTAACCAATTTTTATAAAGAAATAAAACCTTGTCAGGCTGAGAGGGTTTTTCATACACAGCCATTATAGTAATATAGTGTTTTCCTTTCAGCTTTTAAGTATATTGAGTTAGTAGGTCTTCTAGATTATTTTTAAAAAGAAGTCCTGGTTATGCAGTGGTTAAAATGCTGGGCAGCCAACTGATCAGAGCTTCAAATCCATCAATTATTCCACAAGATAAAGATGCTGTAGTGTGTCTGTCAAGATTTACATCTTGAAAGTTCCCTGGGCAATTCTACTCTGTCACATTGGGCTTCTATGAGTCAGAATTGACTTGATGGTAGCTCTGTTTGGTTTGGTTTTGCTGCCTATTTTTCTGTCAAAACCACAGCTGACAAACAGATTCCGTTAAAAGAACATTTCAGTGAAGTTACAGAAATACTAAACTGATTAAAAGCACCATGAGAACAAGTCTCCTGTCTTGCTCACTGTGTTAGCCTTGGACACATGGTAACGGCTCAAATGATAATTATATGAGTCAAGTAAGAGGGAATATATCCCTTAAGAGAGCAAGAATGAATTAATGAACGGTATTCTTTGAGGAGGAATGAATGGTCCATGAGACAAAAGGTCACTTTTTGTAACTAGTTTCCCAGGTTTTGTGCCACTTTGCTCAACTTGAAATTTGAATACTACTGTCATTTAGGTCAATGGAGTCTATTAAACCCCTCAAAAATAAAGCCTCAGAGAAGACCTTTCGTCTTCACTAAACTTTGGCGCGAGGGGTTCACCTTAAAGTGGACTGGAGACGTCTCTGAACAGCCAGTCCCCGTAATCCTGCAACTCCAATATATCCCTTCTCAGGCATTATGACTTCCACCTGAGAGTCCCCAGACACCTGAGCACAACCTAGCCTGAAGACCTGGTTCTGTGCTTTGATCAGGACAAAGGGCAGGACAGGGGCACAGAAGGCTAACTCTCATCCTTTTCTACCAAGCCTCCAGATGAGCCATAATTGCTTGTCTGGATTCCCAAAGAGCCCTTTCTGTGCTCAGAGGAGAAAACACCAGGCCTCACACTATGTGAAAGTTTCACAAAAGTTCAGGCAGCTGAGTCCAACTGAGAAAGGACAATGACTTAGGCTTCTTCTGAGCTGTCATGACACCAAGATGTGGGGGTCACTCTAGAAAGACTTAAATTTAACCAACTCCCAGAGCCAAAGGTGACAGGGCGCACCACACAGTAAAAAGCTCCGTGTTTAAATCTATATTTTCAACTGCCAGCATCTTGTGGAGGACTTCTCAGGCCTCTCTGAGTTGCTTTCTTCATTTTTGTGCAATGAATCCTATGTGAGCAAAGTCGAGCCTCCTAGATCCCAGGTAGGCACAGCCCAGTTCTTAGTTCCTAGGAGGTTTCTAGGCTAAGGCTCCACTCTACTTGGACTGTACTATCAGGCCCCCAAAATGGGGGGAACTGCCAGGGAAGGGCTAATTTCCATTTCAAACTGCATTCTGGTACTTTGTACTCCAGCATCATTGGCCGATCAATATTTAATGCTTGGAGATTCTGACTCTGCGGGAGTCATGTCAGGGGACCTTGGGAGCCAATCTGCTTGAGCTTCTGCGTGATAATTATTCATGGGCTCCTGCCTCTTGCTCTTTCTCTCGCACGGTCCCACTCTGCAGACTCAGTGCCTTATTCAGTCTTCTCTCTCGCTCTCTGCGCTGCTGTAGCCGGACCCTTCGCCTTCTCCGTCGCTCTGCATCCACACAGCCCTACAATGGCTAAAACAGCAATGGGTAAGGCTTCGCGCCTCATTCTCCTACGGCTGGCCCTGGAGCCCACCTCTCACCTTTTCTTTTTTTTAGCACTTAGAAGGAATACGGGGATATTTTATAAAGAAAAAAAAATCATTCATGGGAACAAGAAAGACAGAGGCAGCTCAGGGGCACAGGGAGGGCAAAAGGGGGTTCTCAGAAATCTAGAAAGAAGAATTTCCTGTTAAAGGTAGAAACAGGTAAGTTACCCTCCTCTAGCTAGGCGATTTCTTCTGTTTCTAGATTTAAAATTAGGGCTCCATTGTGGGGGTTGGGGTGATACTAAGCGTTTGCCATGGATAGGATTAAGGGATATTTTGAAAAGTGCTTTGTAACGTCCTTTATTTCTTCTTTAGTTAAAAAGAAGAAAATGTGAAAGAAGGTTGGGTGGGAAGAAGGAGATAGGAAGAAGAATGCAAAGTCCGGGCGGTTAGGAAGATGGGTGGAGAGGGGGAATGGGACACATTTTATGGTATTGTCTAGTTGAAGAAACCGCTAGTCCGGGGGCGCCTGCTGGGCGCTGGGGCGCCGCTCCTTTGTTTTAGGGAAAGGGAGGGACTGAGGGGTGAGGCAGCCGGGAGGGCGTGGAGGGCGCGGGTGGGCAGCTGCAGGGGCGGGGAGGTGCAAGCAGGGAGGGGTGGAGGGGCCGTGGTCTGAAGGCGCTGGGTGGGGTTTCTTTGTGTGCGGACGGGCGGTCCCCGAGGGGGCGGGGGAGGCACCTGCAGCAATGGGCCCACAATGCAGGCAGCCCCACCCAGCGCGCAGCGGCGTCCCCCCCCCTCCCCAGCTCAGCTCAGTGCAGCATCTTCAGCGCGGGGAGCAGAGCGCGACACCCCGGAACCCAGCCCTGCGGGGATGGCAGCGCCAAGCCCCGCACTCCCCACTCCTCGCCTTGGCCTTCCTTCCCAGAAGGATGACCACTGCACTGCCCCCGCCCGCCCCACCGTGGCCCCATTGTTTCTTTTAGGGGGGGAAGGAGGATAGGTTAACAATTTTCTTTCAGAATCATATTACATTGGGTGATTAGAAGGATGTGTATAAAGGCTTCTGTGAACTCATTTGATCGTTTTGGAGTTAAAGCTTCCGGAACCTAGACACAAATGTAAATCTCATTCCACAAAAATAGGTAAACGTAACTGAAAGCAAAAGATATCAATGAATTAAGTTGAGCCACCTTGAACAGGTCAAAAGGACCAAATATTGGCAGGCCCCGTAGGTTCAGCCTGTATCAGAAAGACAGATAAAGGAGACACCAAGATTCCTGATAAGGGATATTCATTCCCAACCCCTCTGCACCGGGAGCCTCTGGCAGCACCCCGCTGTCCACCTAGGTCGCTCCCTGCGGAGAGAACCTGCAAGCTGGAGAGTCCACTCCTGGTGACTCCGCCCTGCCCCACCCTCCCGGCTCCGCTGGGAGACTTGGCTGGCAAGGGGGCTCTGGAGCAAGCAGCCTGCTGTCCAGGGCCCCCCTTTTTCCAGCCCTGCAGGCCGGAACCGCCCAGGCACCCCTTGATGTGAGCAGATACCGGGCGTGGCTCTCAGCATCAGAGTCCGGGGCCTCCCAGCTAAGAAGTAGCAAAGTAGGCTCCTCCAGCCTCGCCGGCCACATAAAGGCAGGGCTGCCACCCTGCCGCGAGCCCGCAGAGGTGACCCCATGGGCGCAGGGAGGGCGTTTTTACCCCGTGGCGCGCGGGGCAGGGGACCCTTCCCGCCCCCCGCGAAAGCCCTCAGCCCACGTTCTGGTTCCCTGGATGGGGAGTCCACGGAGGGTCGCCCCAAGAAAAATCTAGAGCTACATGCAGCTCGGCCCCACCCTCGCAGCTGCGGCCCAGGCCCTGCAGCCGCCGCCCTGGCTTGGATGCACGTGGCCGGCGGGCGTGTGGAGCCTTGCCAGCCCTGCAGTGCCTAGCGCTGCGCCGAGCCCCCCAGTGCAGCCTGGGGAGACGGGTTTCTGCGCAGTGTCCTGAGCTACCCCCATGTCCCCATTCACCTGATGGTTCTGAAAATGCCCCCTCCGTCACCCTACTCCCCGCACCCTCCAGGAAAAGATTTCTGCTGCAGGGGTAGCTGCAGACTCGCCATCACTGTCATCGCAGATCTTACTATTATTTCAAGTCATTATCGTTACTTCAAACCATTATTTTCTTTTTCAATGACCATACTTGTTCTTACTGAAAACTGACTTTGAATGCATTTGGCTAAGGATCAACCCTTGCTGCAGTCACTTTTCTATCTCATATTCTCTTCCTCACAAAAAGGAATTCTGTCTTAGGCTGTGCAATTTTGCATTGTAAAAGAAATAACACTTCACGTTCCAGGCAGGATTATGTTTGCACATGTGGGTGGGGTGTGTGTGCAGATGCTTGCGAGGGGCGTTATGTGCCCAATGGTTGCCGGAAAATTCTCCACAGAGAATTATTTGTGGCTGCTGTGGGTGAAGTCATACAAATGTCTTACTGAGATTTTTGTGATTCTCAGCATATAACCCATGAACTTTTTCTCCTTCAAAATATGTAAATCTGGGTTGTGCACGAAATTAGAACTGTTCTTCAAGGGTGTTTTTCCAACTGCTGATTCTTCTTAAGGTCTCAATTTTACATCTAGAAACGCGTTCGTAAAAAAGCCCATCCAAAATATGACAAAGACAAAGCCCCTTGAGGCTGCATCTGCCAAATCATGAAAAGGACAACTTCGGCCAAACTAAAATAATAGACTTTTCCGAGTATAAGAAGCAATTCATTGCTAGGGAGGATACTTTTTTCTTGAGTCATTAAACAATTAATTCAACATAATCTTGCCGTTTGCGTATAATATTTCCTATGATCTTCTCTAATGAACTGGGTACCTTCTAAGTGGATTTAAGAGAATTTGGACAAGATTTCAGGGTGAAATGTATTATTTAACCTAGTGTGTTTAACCTAGTGTGTTTAATTTATATCCATCGAATAGATAAGCTCAGAAATATGAGACCTAGGAAAGCCAGTTGCTAGTAGCTAATATAATTATATAAATCAATACAGCTAGTGGTAAGAGCTTCGTGGTTTTATTTAAACCCACCAGCTTCTTTCCTTACAGGAGGAAAACGTGGCCTTGTGCTTGTGTAGGGATATGCAGCCTTGGAACCTTCTTGGGGTGTGGGGGAAGGGAGCAAGTTTTCCTCTGCCCAATAGGGCTGCTATAGGAGTCGAATTAATGACAGTGGGTTAGGTTTGGGTTGATGATGTTCACCTGTGCATCTGAGACTTTCAAAAAAAAAAAAGGTTAAGATTGTGGTTTGTACTATTTAAATTGAAAATTATGTTTGTTCAGTAATATGAGCTATAGAACTTATAGGGTAAACTATTTTGTTCAAAGGAAGGGATTGTTAATTGTTAGAACATTTATTAGTATTTACAGCAGGATTTTATGTTACATTAAAACCAGTTTTAATTATTTTCTTTTTAAAAATATATTTTTAATTACTAATGGATAAATTGTGGGATAGGCATTTTAACATTTGTTGTAACATGATTTCGACTAAATAGTCCGTTTTTAGAGATGAAAATGGTGCATTTAACTACCTCCCACTCCTATGAAGAAATGGTCTCCCCAGTGCTGTAAAGCAGAGTCACGCAATAGAACAGTTCCTCTACCAGATTTAGAATTTATAAAAACGTTTAGATTTAAGTACCTAGTCATAGCTATCAAGCAGATTTCTTTAAGTTGTGTTTTATGTACTATTAACACAAATTAATAGATGAGTCAAATACAAATTCAATTTTGTTTTATTATTTTTTGTCATTGATAAATCCAGACCATTTTAAGGAAAGGTTTATCAATCTCACTGGGTTTACCTCCAAATCACAAGGCTGACTATAGCTCCTTCACTATTACACTAGATCATTTTTTACACGAGACTGAATGAAACCAGTTCTAGTACAGGAGAGCCTTCCCACTGCAAAGCTGGGTCTGGGCGTGGCCACCCAGCCTGCTCCCTCAGAGCCAACTGGCTCTTAAGTCTTAGGAAAAGGTGCCTTATTCTGATGTCACAAGATTCATGGCCTGATAAGAAGTTGCAAAGCAAAAATGCAGGGGGAAAAAGTTAATGAATTAGCCAGTGACCCAGATGTTTCCAGAACATCCTGGTTCTTGAAATTGGACAACTTTAGAGTCTGCGTTAATGTTTCACTCCACTAGAGGGCAATCAAGTTCTCCAAAGAAATGGGTGATTGATTTTTAAGCCTACTTCTAAATATTAACTATCTTAAAATCGTTTGTCTAAAGCATTTCACTTGTTTTATTCAGTATTGACTAAAAGAATATGCGCACCTTTGCAAGGAAATAGGACAAAAATAAATGATTAATTATTTCCTTTGGACTTTACCTTCTAGTTTCATTACATTGTTGTTACTTTTTTTGTTTTGTAATAAATAGACTAAATTAAACAAATTGGGGTTTGTTTTTTTTTTTCATTTGCTTCGTGTTGGGGACACACCTGGATGTCAAAATCCTAGCCTTCAGGGAACTTGTATGCTCTTAGGTACAGAAGAAAGAACCACATTGAGATGCTGAAGAGGCATGCCAAAAAATGGCTGTTAATATTTTCCCAATTCACTCACTCATTATTACTGTTGAGTCAGAACCAACTCTTTGCGATTGAGTCAGAACGGACTCACTGCTAACCTGGTTTTCTGAGGCTGTAAATCTCACAGGAGGAGACTGCCCATCTTTTTCTCCCTAAGAAGTCGGTAGCTTCCTGATGTTTGGGATGGCAGCTCAATTCCCGCTCTACGAGGACACTGAGTTGTAGTTTGCGATGGAGCTAAAACCTGCTCATAGCGGACTGTCCAGCGAGTTTTCAGAGGCAGTTAACTGTGGACGAGGAGATTTGTCTATCCTCCTCTTCGGATTGCAGCTCGGCTTCTTAGCGGTAGGCCACCAGAGCTTCCTATTTTTTTTTCCTATTATTTTCCTTTTTCACCTAGAGGAACACTTTCCAAACC